AAGGGCCAGGTATTTGTCGTTCCTATGACAACAGGGAAGAGACACAGAAACCCAGTAATTTTTGTTCATTCATCATTTTATTTTTCTCTGGGTCAAAGGTTACACAGCTGACACTAGCATATACATGCCCCCGCCCTCCCCAATCCCGATACCCCTCCCTCACAGCAGTGAGCGACAGCAGGCGACTGAATAGCGTATCATACTCTTCATCAGTAAGTCTCATCCATCCGTCCATCCCCAAAGTATTTCAGATGCTCGTTCTGGTCATCTGTTCTGCAGCCAGCTCCTCCATAAATTCCAGTTATTGTCTACACATTAAAGTCTCGCTTGGTGATCTACATCATAAGTGTTTCAGTAAAAATAGTTTTTAAAAAAAAGGTACATTGGTTAGCTCAAGAGGAAAGTTTCTAATAATTCTAACACTCTCAAGCTTTAACTATACATAAAATAACAACCTGTTCTCATTCCCAGGACGTTAAACACTCCTGTTTGTCTGAGCCGCTGGGCCTCACAGACACGCACAAGGTGGCATGTGTGTTGCGACGGAGGATCTATCTCATGGTGCTAATAAAAGACCACTTGGCAGCACATTTAAACACACGGCGTAATCAGCATTTTTCAAAATGCAGGATTCATGTTGCGAAGGCTTGTATCTCGACATAATCGAGTGCTTTTTAGCACCTTAATTGAAACGTGAAAGAATCACAGAACAGGTGTGTGTGAACAGGACCTACCAGGTGTGACCAGAGCTTAAAGCATAATTTATGGTCCTGCAAATGCGTCTGTCTGCATAAGTGTTTCTGTTCGAACACTGTACTAAAAAATGTGCTCCTGTCCAATCTTCCGAAATCCCAAACTGCACGCTGCTGGACGCACGTGTAGGTCAAATGCTAATGACAAGGTTTGACGAGTGGGCTGGAATAGGGAGGTGAGTGACAGCGGAGTTCATTGGGAACAAGAAAAGCATGAAATTAACATTAAAGATCAAAACTTCAAGAGCACAAAACATACGCTGGAGCTCATTGTTTTTGACAATTGGTTTCTCTTTAGCTCTTTGTCTGTTAGAAGTCATATGTATGTATGTGACCCACAGACCGGTTGTACCACATATTTCTGTACACTGCCTCCATCTGACAACAAACACTCTCTGCAGGCAGACGGGCAGTCCGGACTGCTTTCGCGCTGCCCCCGCTCAAGTATAAAACGCCTAAGCCTCCATTACACTCGGCTGCAGATACGAACACGACAGCAGGGTAAACATTCCTGTTATATTTCTTTGACATCTGCCGCCTAAGGCACCGACTTCAGCCCACGTGGTAATGAACCACACGCTTTTTCACACCTTGTCTAAAGTAACTTGCATGATTAAAAGTAGGTTAAATACCCTCAGCACCACCTCCACGGTGACAACCCCGACAGAGGTTAACAACTGGGAGTCTCCATCGATCTTCTTTTAAAAGTGACAACTGACATCACTCAGACGCTAGCAGACTTGCAGAAAGTACAGCGCACATTTTAGTTAGGAGTGCGTGGGTGCCATGAACCGTGGATGAGGCCTTACTCCAGCGTCTTTTATCTATCTGTCTATCTAAGATTTAATAAATGCAAAAATGCTGCAAAATAGAGGACGGGTATCTCTTGGCCTGTGATATTGCCACAGATAGGATGCCAAAGGCCAATTTGTGTGCATCTGTGTGACACGGTGATATCTGACAGGATGCTTGTATTTGACGCCCAGGGATGAGAATGTGTTGAAAATAAGCACCTTCACAGGGTGTCTATAGTGTAATAACAGGTAGAGAAACATCCACTGGGGTGTATTCACAATGCTTGTAATGTAGTCATCAGTTCTCAGTGTTAGTGTTTCACAGGGTGGTCAGCATTACATTATATTACTTGTCTCTTTACAGTGTTTATGCATCCCAAATACAACCCCAGATTTCCAGTCTTGGACCATTCAGCTTATATCAACCCACAGCATGTGACTGTGTGTAGGTGTAATGTGTGTGTTTCCAGCAACTAAGTCTGTGGCGACCTGTGAACGTGGAAAAGTGGGCGTTTTTCAGGTGAGCGTGAGAGCGATCGACTGCGTGTCTTTTGGTGTGGTTGTTTACGCCTTCGTGTTAATCTGACCAATCATTCTCCTCCAACTCGGAGTCATCCTCCGAGTCGGAGTATTCCACAGCGATGCGTCGCGACAGGATGGTGGCCACGTCATTTCCAACCGGCTCTCTCTTTGCCTGCTGCTCCTGCTGCTCCTGTACTTTCTTCAGCTGTATGCCTGCAGAAAAATATGAAGTGTTTTTTTAACTACACAATTATTACACAAGTTATAAGACAACGTGAAAACTCATAAAAGGCGTCGTTAAAAATAAATACATTAAAATAAATGTAAACATGTCCAAAGAGGACAAATTTACATCAAAAGGAGACACAGGCACAGTTCTTACCCATACGTATCGCAGCCAGCAGATCGCTGCGGGCGTCGTTGACCGCTGTGGTCTCAGCGGATGCGGCGGAGGACATCTTGTGCGTTGTGGAGTGGGAGGCACCAGCTGGAAGTGGAGGAGGTGGAGGACCAGGAGGAGGTGGAGCAGCCTGGGCTCCAGATACAGGTGGTGGAGGCGGAGCATAGCCGACAGCACCAGCCATTGGTCCGGGAGGCATTGGACCTCCAGGAGGTGAGGCAAAGGCCGTCTGAGCAGAAGGGATGACAGGAGCAGGAGGAGGGGGAGGAGGACCAGTGTTGGCATAGCCGTCCATACTGCGAGGAAGAACAAGAGAGTGAATAGAGTTAACAATAATTTTGTTTTCTGACACTTCTGTGACTTTTTCTTACATTTCCCTCCTTAAAAGTAAAGATGAGCATGATAACGTTGATGTAAATCAAATGTATTCAGCTCCGTATCAGTACATATCTTCTGGTGGGAAGCCCACAGTTTGAAGACCAAAAAATACTAACTCACTAGGTGGCAGCATTAGCTCAAACTTTACAGGAGTAGACTCAAGTAAGAGATTTGTGCTGGCTTTTTTTTTTAAGTATTTGATACAACCTAAAATAAAAGAAGAAATTATAAGAAGAAAGTTTTACTTTATAAAATAGGGTCAAAGTCTTCTGAAGCAGCAAAATCACTTTCACTGGCGACCTGTGCAGGAACCTGAACCTGCCTAATGACTGCTGGGATAGCTTCCAGCTCCTCTGGGAACCGAAGCTAAATAAGGAGCTGAGTTGTGCTGGGATTTGATATTTATGTCTCATGTTTCTGATTTGTTTTCTCATATTTAAAGACTGCAGCTGCCCATGGGCCCTGAATGTTTTTGTTTGTTCAAAGTCTAAGTGTATCAGCATGTTTAAATTTACATTTTTTTTAAATGTAAAATAATGCAAAAGCATTAGCATTGGGCAGAAATTTGAATACTGAAAATACCGAACTATTAGTGATATAGTGGATAATTAAATACAGCTTATGGCAAAATAAACTGTCTGACCTACTGTATAGTGTCAGTAGTGATTGGGATGAGGTTCCTGCATATGCACTGTGCATAAAGTTTAAACATATGTATGCAGAACATTTTGTGAAGCTTTTTTGCTTATTGCTGGAAAAAGCGAGAAAACGAATAAGCAGACGAATCCATTTACCTGTAGTCCACTGGTGGGAGAGACATAGAGCCACCGTTCATAACCTCAGTGGGTGGAGGAGGCAGTGGGACGTGGTGGTGGTGAGAGCGGCCCAGTGTGCCACCCTGATAGGCCATCATGGTCCTGCCTCTGTTGTCGTGTTCCCCTACTCCGCGTGGTGCGTGTCCGGCAGCCATCTGGGCAACTAGGGCGCTGGGTGGAGGGCCGGAGTAGGTGTGGGCGTGACCAGCATGGTTCATACTGTTGGGGTAGTGGTGCTGATCCAGCCCGTGTCCCCTGATGAGGAAAATATAAATGTAGCCTCATGCGTAAGAATAAAATGTGATGAAAACTAAGAGCACACTGGTGTTTGCTCATCTACCTGTTCTCTGGTGACATCGAGCCCTCAGAGGAAGCGCCTCTGTCCCGGTGTATGGTGTGTCGATGGTCTGGCCGCAGCTCCTTATCCAAAGCCATCATATTCCACTCCTGCCGACGGTTCCTCGCTTTGCGGACCTTCTTGACCTCCCTCTGTAGTGTCCCATCCACACAGCGCCTCTGCTCCTGGAAGAAAGAGTAAGCCAATAGGTTTTAGGTGATATTAGGTTAAAATAAGCAGCACTCTTTATTAAGAGTTGTTTAAGATATGAAAAATGTACATTTCTCTATCCATCAGAATGAGTTGGACTAAAAATACAATTTTATGTGGTATGTTTGGTTATCTGCCCAAGAGCACCTCAAAATGTAAAATTGCAAGCACCTGTGTTTGACACCCAAATAAATGCTTAATATTAGACCTGTCCTTTCACACTGTATAATATCCTCCAAGTCAATATGGTACCTTCTGCTTCCTTTTCTCTTTCCTCTTGTCCTCCGTGTCCTGCAGCATCTTTTCTTTCCACAGGTCAAAGAAGTAGGAGGGGTCTGTGTAGAACTTAAGCGCCTCCTTGTGGTCATCCCTACAGAGACGAACCCCGAGAAAGTTATGACGATAAACAACCGCCTTCTTATGCAAAGCCACGTTGAGTAGAATCAGTAAGTGTATTGATCCTTAAGATACAAAGAGATGATGGACACAGTGACAGCATCATTTGCTGGATATGAGACACGCAAAGCTAGGAATACAGCAGATGCTGAGGCTAATGGAAGAAAAGGAGTGAAACTACTAAGAGAGCTCCAGCTTTTTTATCACAAAGAGAACATAACAGGAAACGACAGGATAAGGCAGAGCGATGCCGAGAGAATGGAAAAAAGTGAGCAAAGTGTGCCATGTAGTCAGGATTAGGAGTTAGGATTCCCACTGGAGCAAGACATGCTAAATATGTAATGCACACAAGTACTGAAAAGCACACTGCATAAAGGCAGTGACCAAACATGGTACGAAATGGTACCAATTCTGGTTTTTCACTCTTCGTGTAGAAGCAAGAAAAAGCCAAAGAAAACCTCCTGAAAATGTTTTAAGATTTAAGCCCTTTTTAAAACCACTGAATTAAAATCTTTTTTGGACTGACACTAACCAAAGTAAGAAAAATAAGAGTTATTTATTATCGCTTAAGCCCATCCAGCTGTTTGGGTGTGTTGTGCCTCAGCAACACCAACCTGTAAGATGTTAGTATGTTGAGAGGTGGAGGCTTGTCGCTCAGGTTGTACATCTCTTTGACCGGAGTGGGGACGCTGCTCTTGGACACCACCTGCTGGTCCTGAGTGGTGGAGCTCTTGAAGGCCTTCCTCATGTTGATATCTTGCAAGGAAACTAAGAACACAAAAAGAGGAAAAGAGGACAAATGATTCATCATTGGAAGGACAAAAATAGTTTACAAAAGCCATTCAGTACGCAGAACATGAGATCAGCAGGACTTCACCAATGAATGATAGCTTAGTGTGCATCCCCCCCACACCAGACTTCAACCCTGTGACTCACCTTCCTCCACAGTGGAGTCCAGCTGTGTGACCTTGACAGCCAGCCGATCAATGCGATCCTGGAGAGAGTTGGCACGCAGGTAGAAGGTGTTGGCCTCATTAAACAGCTCGCCAAATATGTCCTCCGCATGTTTGCCTGGGAAAAGAAAAAACAACAGAAGGAGAAAGAGAAATATGAGAGAGAGACTTTTAATCGTTACCTGGAGCCAAGAGAAACCCCTCAGAGACCAAAGTCCAATCAATACACCGGTAATGTGACACAACGTGAAACAGGAGTCTGCAGGAAATGATGTCTCATACAACTCCATATAGCAACAATCCTCATGAATAATTGATTGTTAGCTGAAAACACACAATCCAAACCATAATATGAATTTGTCTGTGTGGATACAGACGCTACAGTGACTAAAGCAGCTAACCAGGATAGTAAATAACACATTCTCTCCTGCCTCAACAACTGCTGTTACGTAATAAATAAGCCTCATTGTCAATGTTTTAAGTAAAAGTTGTGTACTCATAATGCTCCATCTAAATATAAAGCAGTTTGCTTGTCGTCACCCATTTGATTTTAACAGGTCACTGCTGCAGATGAATATCCAGGCTCTCGCTGTACACATAACTCTCCTCTTTATTTCCATGCAGCACACTCCCTGGCTCAAAAATGGGGCAAACAAGGAAGTTTCAAAAACTGCAGTACCTTAAATGACCAACTCAGGCTGACTCAAAAATTCCCATGGACTCCCATGACTTAAAAAAAACTTTTGGTCTCTATAGCAAATTTGCGGCATTTGTTTTTTGGATCAAGTTTGATTTTTAAGATTTTCACATATGTATAAACAAAACTGACCAATCAGACCAATCTGGTGTGCTCATAGCTAAAACCACACCAAGGTACTGGATGTACAATGATATGACCAGCAAAATGAATAGTAGGATAATACGGTTTTGGCACCAACACGCAGCTAGACGTTGCTTGAGGTTAATCAGCACTCTGAAATTATTTCTCTGCCTTTTTAGATGTGGTCCCAACTCTGCCAACAAGAACTCAAACTGTGCCACCGACATCCTGAAATATGTACAAAAGCGGCAGTGATACAGCTTCATCTCCTGGATCAAACCATAAAAGTGCCCCTGCTGAGCCTTCTCCTGAGAAGTGGATGAACTCAAAATCTTCCTTTTCTTGTTTAGAAAAATCAGGAACTGCTCATCATCTCTTAATGCTGACTTTAATTTTTTGACAGTGTGTTTTTGAGGATGGATTTTGAGCAAAAATGACCAACCATTTCACCGTGACCAACTCAACTGGACCTCTTTAGTGTGTTTGTGGTATGTTTAATGAATTAAATTCTAGTATATTATTCATATGTTAATTAGCCCTTTCTCTTCAATATTTATAATTTATAGGTGCCACTTGGTGGCTGCACAGCAAGAAGGTCCTGAGTTCAATTCCACCATCTTTCTGTGTGGAGTTTGCATGTTCTCCCTGTGTTGCATGGGTTCCTTCCGGGTACTCCGGCTTCCCCCCACCGTCCAAAGATATGCAGTTAGTGGGGATAAGTTAACTGGTTAATCCAAATTGCCCATAGGTGTGAATGCGGGAGTGAATGTGAGCGCAAATGGTTGTCTGTCCCTGTGTGTTAGACTGGCGACCTGTCCAGGGTGTACCCCGCCTCTCGCCCTATGACAGCTGGGATAGGCTCCAGTGCCCCCCGCGACCCTGAAAAGGATAAGCGGAAGTGAATGGATGGATGGAGGTGCCACTTGCTAACCAAGATTGCAAGCTGATAACTCATGACTACACCTCATCCAAATATAGTCATTGTGGAATAAAAAAGAATAGAAACCAATGATGCGGTGACTATGTCCATCTTTTACATACAGTCTATGTCAAATCCACAGCCCCACAGTGAGTCAGCAGTGTCTTTTGCTCCTTTTAGCTGGTGCTTCAGTTGATTGTTTGTTGATTGATTGTTGACTTGTTTGAAGTCTTGCTGGCCACGGAGATGTACGGATTTAGAAGTCACCAGTGGGATGCAATGTGGGACTGCTGGCATTAAAATCAATGCTACTGGTTGATGTTGTTTTAATAAATCCACGGTGTGAAAAAGGGTGGTCAGCCCCCATTTAATGAGTCGCAGCTTCACTGAAGCCCACAGCTCTTTTTGAGATGTGACTGGATCAAAACATTTTTGTTGTTTATGTTCTAACCTCAATTCACTTCAATTCAATTTAAAGAACCTAAAACATTTTCTCTCAGCACCTCAGGGAGCTAAAAGGTTCCTTTAAACCACCAACGGCAGAGAAGAGCAGCAGAGATTAGGGAAATTAGCCTGCCTACATGGCAAAAGCTGATTTTAGGACTTAAAAAAAATACTACCAGGTTACATCTTTGCTGCCTCTATCGTATTTTACTGTTTTCTGTCTATGTAAGAGCTGCTACAGGAGACGGTTGTATCAGCTTTTCAGCACCACCTTCCATCAAGGATGTACAGAGGAACAGGCTCAGAAAACAGAGGTCATTTCTCGGGTTCCCTGCTTTGTTTTCACTCCCTGACTTTATTCACGTTCTAGTTCACTTAGCAACAATAATAAAAAAGCCTGCATCACCTATAATTGATCAATTTCTGAGTTTCTTTTAAAGGCACTTGTTCTGGTTGTGTTGTTCAACTTGAGCCCCACCCATGAGTTTCCAGGGTCACTCTCAAGGTCTTACCCCAGAGCAGATACTTCCTCCTGCCACATATATGGCCCTGAAGAAGTCTGACAGGGGAGGTTCTCACTATGGGAATGCACATAAAGGTACGGGACACACCCACAAACCGCCTGATGGAAAACTGCCTAATCTTAGCACAGAACTAATGGCTGCAAAAGGCCCTTCACTACAAGACTGTGGATCTGGGCAGTAGTGAAACAGAAACATATTAAAGCACAAAACAAAACAGAGCACCTCTGGTACAATTCCAATAAAAATATTTAAACATAAACACTTTGTAACATACAATGTGTGGTATGACAAACACAGACTGAGGGCTATTTCTGTCCCTCCCGCTGACAGGATGGGCTGCAAGAAAAACATTTAAAGGAAGGAAGAATCGCAGATCTGGCACGTAGAGCCCCGGTCAACTCTGACCCCTTCTGGGGATTCCTATGGACACTTATACACATGTGCTCACAAACACACACGCAGTGTCTGCAGATATCCCCCCACCAGGCCTGTTAGAGCATTTATATTTAACCCGCACAGCTGCTGTTGAAATACCCACTCCCTGTGCAGGAACTTGACACAATAAGAGACAGAGAATGGATTTGAGGTCAAAGAGATGAGGTGTTAACGTCAGAAAGGACAGTTTAAATTTATGCTGCTGAGTTTTGAAACGAACCTTAAATACAGTTGCCATGAAAGCAGAAAGCAACTGTGGATAAAGGGGGCAAATGGGAAAATAGCTGCCCTTTGTGCTGTTATAATGTAATGCAATAGAAAGCCAGCATATAATCGATATGAAACACTTCTATACACACACACACACACACACTTACAGTCACATGTCCACAGCTATAGATAAGTTCATTTTTTGCGCGCCTGTCTAAAAGGATTACATTTCGACCCTCCGTGTTCCAATGTGAGGCTGCTGCAAGGCCGCTGTGAGCCCAGTGACCTCAGGCTCTATAACCATGACAACGGGCAAATCAATCACAGCTTCGGGATTAACGATGAAAGCATGTGATCTTGTCCCGTATACAAAGAGGCTACACACAGTGTGTACCATCGTCACGCTGAAATTAACGGGGTTACAGCCTGAGGATGCTTTTCATGTTTCCAAAAAAATACTTGTATGCTTTTTTCTACTAGATGCTTTTAGCAGCCTTTTGTTTACCAGGACGGGCGTGCTAGTGTTGGTGAATGTGTCTGTGAATGTGTGTCTTACTCAGGCTGCTGAGCTGACGGATGATGGCAGAAAGCGTGTTGTTCATCACACACTCCAGCTCGCTGCCGATGCCCTCGGGGAGCGCCCCTCGGCAGAGGTGGCGCGGCTCGATGTTTCTCTTCACCAGCGGCATGGTGAGGCTTCACGCCGGCACGCAGACTGCAAGAGAAACAGAACGGTTTTAGACACAAACGCAGGTGAAGTGTCCCAAGTGAGGACATCAAATAAAATGCTCATCACTTTATTGATTAATACTTTGGTCTAAAAACATCAGAAGTTAGAATAGAGCCATAAGCCTGCAATGAACCTTAAATTCAGGGTATCATTTTTACGCATGAGTGGCAGGAAGAGATTGTATTTTGTTGTAAACTGTCCCTGTTTTTCCTATTCTTGCTCTAAAAACACAGCATTTTGAGATGAAAAACAAACAAAGTGTGGGTGGGCTGTTGACCAGAGAGCGATGACCAAGAGTGTGCCAAAGCCAGGAGACTTCTGTCGACCAGCACGGAGATTAAAGCATTAGGGATAGGAAGATACGGCGTGCCAGCTAATCCCAGCGCCAGCTTGTCACCGGCCCAGCTGGAAATCTGACACAACCAGAGATTCGTGGATGTGGTCAAGACCAAAAACAACAAATCCTAACACAAAACCTGCAGCAAACAAACACACCCGCATATCTTTCTCCAGATACACTGCTTTCTCATTTTGCTTACACCCACCGCTACTCTGAACTTTAATTGAACCCTGATTGCCTCTGATCAGACACTCCGAGTCCTCTGTAGTTCAAAAGAGGAGAAATCCCAGAGCAGCCATCTTATCGTTGTCTCCTCCTGCTTCCTGTTTTTGAGGTCTGAGCCTGGCTCCTGTTTCCTGGTCCTCCTCCCTGTGTCACATCTCTCCATCCTGTCCAAACACTTGGCTAGAACAATGCAGCTATGGGAAGAAGCTTCAAGGAGGACAAACAGGGGAGACGGATGGAAACGTGCACAAACACTTGTTTCCAATGAAATATTTTTGTTTCAGATTTGCAAAAAAAAAAAGGAAACAAATTATTAATTTTGATTCCAGAGTTTTTCCTTTGCAGATATGCCAAAAAAAGCAGGTTGAAAAGACACAGGAGGCCAGTCAGAAGACTAATAATAGCAAAAGATAAAGGGAACCCCACTAAAATTTAATAAAGACTGCATACTGGAAAGTAGATTTTCAAAAACTCATTATACCATTAAAACTATAAAACATAGACATCCTATTCTCTGTCAATACTTATCTCACTGCTTTGCTTGCACTCCTTATACCTTTAATACAATAAATTGCCAAAAATACGAGCAGGAGTGCTATCAGTGTCCCAGCAGGAGACTACTGTAATTGCAGATTGTGTAATTACAGCTGTTCACAAAGACAAGGACCACTTGTGTTCATCAAGACCAATTCCCATCAGTATACCGCTCATTTGCCCCCGTTTTTTTAGCCAGCGACCACCTGCAAACCCCTGACAGCCTTGCGCCAATGAGAGAAAACAAAAGGGTAAAATTACACCATCATGTGTTCCCACAAAAGGACCCTGAATAGTCAGCAAGGGCTGGTTTGGCACAGAAAGGCCCAGCTTAGGTTTAGCTCTGTACATAAACATTTTGGAAACGCGGTGCTGTCTGCTGCTTAAAAATGAGGTGATGCAAATTAGATGATTGCATGTTTCTGCTTTTACTGTCTGACCGGCATGACAATCACACTGATGAAGCGAAATAATGAGGGACCGGGAGGGAAGAGAGTGGAGGGGACAGGAGGAGGGATGAGGCCTTGTGCTGCTTGTGGGAAATGGGGGGGGTATGATGGCAAAGGGTTTCCTGTAGCATTGCAACTTAAAGTCATTTTTTCACCAGCTGAAAGTT